CTGAAAGCACCTATAAACATGGTTTCTCGTATGCTAAAGAAGCACTGTTTAATCTTTATTCTAATAGCATGGGAACAAATTTAAATTTTAAAAAATGCAATTAAATTATTATTATTATTATTTTACCCAGGACCTCCATGGGGTTTTTTCATTTGTTTTGTTTTTTGGTTTTTGGATTTTTTCCCCCCTACTATACATATATCGTCAAATACAAAAAGAGGAGAATTCTAGATTCAGTACCTTAGCCTGAGTCAGTAAAAACAAGCAACAATAACATTTGTTCCTCTGCAACTTCTGAGGAATAAAGTCGCGATAAAATAGTGTATATAGAGCATCTTGAGATCCTCGGAGACAAGGCTTTAGGAAGAGACATGCCATTTCTTTTTGCCCTCTCCTTTCATGCCTTTTTTGAAAAAGAAGCTGATTAACTAAAAACATACGCCAGAGGGACAGAATAAGACCAGGAAAATCGTTTAAGTAGCTGAAAGTTCTGTTCCATCAGGCCCCGGAGAAAGGTGAAACCCAAACAGGCCCTCCGCGGCCCCGGGCAGCAGGCGGCCTGGTTTGTGCGAGCGGTCAACGGAAATCAATGAGCTGCTCAAAGCGCGCCGCAGTCCCTTCACCAACTCGCACTCACAGAGCAAGAGCCAGGGGGATGGGGATCGATGCCTCTCCTGATTCCGAAGCCCAGAGCCTCTGCAGCAGCACAGGGGCCAGGCAGCTACAACAGCCCAGCTCAGAAGAGGCCGTGGGTCCGGCTTCCCGGGAAGCGCCTGAGAGCTTTCCTCCACGCCCCAAGCCCCGCCCTACTGCCCCGGGGCCACAGGCCTGCTGGCCCAGGTGGGGAGCGCGGCAAAGAGGAACTCTTCAGCGCCTCCTACTGGTTGATTGTCAAGCCTGTCTGCTTCTCTGGGCTTCTCTGCGTCCACGCCTTTTCTCTGGCTGGAGCTTTCTGACTTCGAATGGATCTTCTTAGCCTTTCTACTCTGTTCTGGCAAAGATATCTCCCTTGCCTGGACTTGCATGCCTATGTGCTGGCCAGTTTTATACTGCATTTCAAAGCTCTGTGACTTAGCTTTGATTTCTTTAATTCTAAATAAAGTTAAATATGTCCATGCACAGATCTCGAATGAGTTTTGAGTCAGTTGGTTTTGCTGTAACAAACTCCTCAGTCAAAATATAGGACATTTCCACTAACCTGGAAAGTTCCTTCCTGCCCCTATTATTTAATCCCCTGCTAGAGGCAACCACTGTTCTGACTGACTGACCTTCAACTTTGCATAAATGGAGATGTAGAATATCTGTTTCTTAGCATCTAGCTTATTCCACTCAGCGTGTTTCTGAAATTCACCCATATCGCTGAGTCTATCTGTAGTTCATTGCTGATGCCTTCAGCATTTTATTGCTGAATAGTATTCCAATGTATGAATATGCCAATTTTGTGTGTGTTTCTGGGCTTTTGGAATGTATTGGATCTGAAGATTTCCTAATCTTCTAACAAATAAGAGATATAGAAAATGGAAGTTCAAGAAAATGGGAAAGGGTCCATAAGATCAGTGTGATGTGAGGTGAGTCTATGTCATCAGTATAAAAAATGTCCTTTCTTTTGGTCTGTGAGGTGACCCCCAAGCATAGAAAACTCACCAGGTCTTCAATTTCACAAGGTAGAAGAGCTAAGAGATCATAATCAGGCCTGTAGACCTCCAGAGAAAGACTATTTCTCTAATTTACTACCAGAAAAAACAAGAAAAACCTTTACTCATCATTCAAGTCCAGCTCATATGGCATCTCCACTCTGCAGCTTTTCCATAACCTTGAGGGAAGGCAGTTCAATCTCTCATCTGTGTTCCTACAACTCACATGAGCCTTGATTACAATGTTTACCGTTTTTTAACTACTTTGGTTTCTTTGCAGACCTGACTCCACTTTCTACCAAAGAAACATGGACTCCTCAAAGAAAAGGACAATCTTTTTTTTTTTTTTAATAGCTTTGTACCTTCTGGCTCCCAGCACAATGATTACATACACAGTGTAAATGAGTGGACAAATGGATAGCTGCCCAGATGGATGGGTGGATAGATGGATGGATGAATGGATGGATGGATGGGTAGGTGGATGGATGGATGGATGGATGGATGGATGGAGGATAGGTGGATGGATAAAACAATATGTCAAAAGTGCCATATTGCTCATAGACTGAATGAACTGCCAGGTCTTTGGCAACCCCCAGAAGTATCATGGTGGTACTTTCTCTCACTGTCTTGCATTCTCATTGGTCCTGAGAATTCATGTTATTCTACCTGCCCATAGGTAAATGCCTCAATACCATCTAGAACTAGAATGTGGCTTCCTGATGCTTGAAGAAATATTTTCATTAGAATCAGAGATGGGGCGAAGTCACACTCAACCTGCCACCATGGAGCCCAAGAGGCAATCTTGACTCTGGCAATCTTCCCGGTACAGGACAAGCCTGAGAACTGAATGAGTGACGGTGCTTCTGCTGTCAGCAGGAGGCTGGTTAATTATAGCCTCATAGGTAACTAAAAGGTGATGTGGAGCCTACTAGAGAGCTTTGTGACACTGTGAATTGTGTTTAGTGCTCAGCTGTTTCTCACCCACCTCTCAGATGGTCCCAGCAGGAAACAGGTCTGTGGCTGTCATGTTTACAGTTAATTAATGTTTATTTATATTTTTAAACAAGCCTTTCACCTGTCACGCTTTAAAATGAATGTTCCGCTCTTCAATTAGAGGTTGTCAGAGCGGAGAGGAATCCTGTTTGTTACGAGTTGAATGTGTGTATGCTTAAATGTGTATCAGACTGGAACCTCTTTTTCTGTAAGTCTCTCTCTCTCCTCCCAGAGGCTAAAGCTTCCTACTCAGAGAGACATATTTTTCAAGATCTTGACCTTAAGATTGGTGATCTGCTATGCAGGCCATGAACTTGCTTCTGGAGGGTAGACAGCATAGATTATAGTGTCTCTTTGGATGGGGCATGGGGGTTAGCAGGAAAACATTGCGCATTTTGACCAACAAGCATTCTTAAAGGAAAAGGATGTGCTTGGTTCTCTTTGCAATAAAGCATTGACTCAGCAAGTCTGAAGTGTTCAAACCCTGTACCTGCCAAAGAAAGGCCTGGCCCTTGACTGGCTCCTGGGAGATCACCTTGACATCTTGGGAATATTCAGTTAGGTAAGAGTGTCTTTCTCAACCTGGGGCCTTGGACCCTGTGAGGTTGGTGCTGACAATGTGATATATGCTGGGTGGGGCTCTTGTGCCACAAAGTGTCAGTTTGACCTCTGAAGGTCTTACAGACTGAGTAACTAAGACTGGTCATGTGGGGTACCACGGCTACAAAATAACCCCTGATAAAAGGACCTCGACTCCTAGGCGTCAAGGCTCAGGGGAGCTTCCCTGGTTGGAAACACTCTGCGCATTATCACTCGTCATTGCTGGAGAATTCAGCAGTGTCCAAACTCGACTGGGAGCAGACACCTGGACTCACACCTGTCTCTCCTGGACTCTGCACTAGTGCTTTTTATCTTTGCTAATTTTAATCTGTATCCTTTCACTGTAATAAACTGTAACCATGAGCCTAAGAACTATTCTGGGTTCTGTGAGTCTTACCAGGGAATCACTGAGCCTGAAGACAGTCTCAGGGACACCCTAACACAGCCTCTCAAAGAGCAGGTGATGAGGAGACATGGGGTTGCAGCGTAGAAAAACAGATCAGAACAGAATCTCAGCTCTGCCATATGCCTCCTGGGGATCTCAAGGAAATCACTTGACCTCTTAATCTTTTTGAGATTTAAATATGATTCTATATAAGATATTCATCCATTGTTCCACTAGCGGCTCATTGAATGTGCCACTGTTTTGACTACATAGTATACAATCAAAACGTGGTTAATGGTAGGGGTGATTGTTTGAAGTTGGGCCATCTGTGGGCTTCTCCACATGATTTTAAGTCCCTTAGGTTAGATGAGCACTCTAAATTTGGACATATGCCCCTCTGCATTTTTGCAGACAGATATGTTCACAATTTGTAGTCAATAAATGATCATTTTTTACAGTTACTTGGTTAGCTTTGCCTCCTAACTTACCTTGGCCCTAAGCCTCTGGATTCAAATAGTCTGTTTTTCATCAATTGCACAGTTACTGTAGGCTTGGGAGAAAAGGTTACCCATGAAAGTGTGTAGAATGGTGCCAGTATCATCTTGGGAATGTAAAAAGTACCAGCTGAATGTGAATCTGAACACCTAGAGGATTGTTTTCTTTCCAAATGCTATTTCATAGATGTATATACATTTTTTCCTTGACCAGTAACTGAAAAAAAAAACAGAAAAATAAAGACCCAGGCAATGGGATGAAATACAATTTTTTGCCCAGTTTTCACCAATGACTATTGAACTAATGGTTTGTCCAGGAACCAGTGGTTCCTGTTGTGCGTTAAATTGTTTCCCAAATAGATATGTTGAAGCTCTCATCCCCAGTACCTATGAATGTGACCTTATTTGGAAATAGCCTCTGTGGATGTGATTAAGATGAGACCATACTGAAGCAGGATGGGCCCTATAAGAAGAGAGAAATTTATACCCAGACACACACAGAGCAAAGATGGCAGAGACTGGAGTTGTGCTCCCACCAGCCAAGGGATGCTAAGGGTTGCTGGCAATCACCAGAAGCTAGAAAGAGGCAATGAAGGGTTCTTTCTCAGAGGCTTCAGAGAGATCAGAGCCTGCTGACACCTTAATTTCAAGACAGCTAGACTCCAGAATTGTGAAATAATACGTTGCTGTTGTTTTAAGCCATCCCATTGGGGGTACTTTGCTATGGCGGCCTTGGGAAATGAACATGCACCCCTCCCCTCCATCCCCATTAGAGCTTGTCATACACAGGTCTTTGGCTTGTGTCTGGTTTTCTTGCCTGGACAGAAGGTCTTCTCCCTCCTGGAAGGAGGGAGGAACGGGCCAGGATTGTGGAAGCAGAGGGAAGTAACTCACCACGGGCCTCCGGCCGATGCTGCCCAGGTAGTGGAGGAGCCCTTTGGCGTGGTAAATCGTGGGCTGGAGATGAGCACTGGGAGACAGCCATTGTCTGTTCAAATCCTCCCCTCTCAGGGAGCATCTGTGACTGCAGGAACAAACCACAAGCCAACAAATACACATTTAGAGGAAAATAACTCGAGAAAATAAAGCTTGACAAGACAAACAATTAAACTAATGAATCCAACTTCCCTCTGACTTCTGCTCAATTGGCATCAATTGACGATGTCCAAAAATCCGCAGATCTGTCCTCTAAACTCCCAATATGTCATGATTATTCACAGCCCCCAAAAGAACTGGAAACCATACTTAACTTGATTTTGGGTTACCATTGTTTTAAGGCAAAGTTTAGGAAATGTAGTTCCCTGCTATGTGCATCCACAGAGAACAAATTAGTCCATTTCTCTAGGCTCTGGGACCTTCAGTTGGACAAATGATTGAGCTGAGCTCAATCTATCTTGTTGGATTTGTTACAAAGATATTTCTAGCTGGCCCAGTAACTCTGCCAGGTGGATATGACTGCACCCCAGTGAAGAGACTGACGCTTAGAAATGGTTAAATAAATGGCCCAAGATCACATAACTTAGATGTAGGCTTTACACCCAGCTCTGTTTGCCTCTGAAAAAAAAAAGCATAAGGCTGTTTCTACCTCGCTGTCCATGCAGATGACACAGGAAGCTTGACATTTACCCAGAGAGCCAGAGTATCTTTTTCAAAGACATCATCATGGAATATTAGCACTAGAAATGAGCTCAAAATCGTGCATCTCCTCATTTAGGGAAAGGAGAGGCTCACATCTGAAAGTATCAAGTCCTTTGACAAAGATAACACAACTGGTTAGTGTGAGCACTGACTGCAATTCAGAGGGAAGGAAACTGAGATGCTGAGTGGCAGGTAAGGGCATCCTAAAAGCCCAGGACCACCAGAGATTCCCAAGTGCAGCCCATTCTCCGGGGAGGCTCCCGGAAGCCCTGCTAAGATGTTATTTACCCAATAGGGCTAACAAGCGAGGTGCCACAGAATAGAAGGAAGCAGTGCAGCATCTTCATCATCTGGTCCTCCCAACCCCTTAGTCAGATCCCTACCGCCACCTCCTGCTGCCCTTGTCCTTCTATGCATCAACTTGCTCAGACTGCGCACAGCTCCCTCTGAGCAACTGTGCCTGTCTGCCTCCTTGCCACAACCCCCCTCCCCAAGCTCCATCCCTTCCAACCAACTCAACTTTCAGGCATCAGCCCTGCAGGGAAACTTTCTTTGATCCCCAGGCCATTACATTCTGCTCCTATTTGTTTCAACAGCATCTTTAATTAGAGTTTTTATAAAACCTTTTTGAATTTTCAAAAATTTTTAATCTATTGTTATTTCCTTTGCCTTTGCAGTTAGATTGTAAGCCTCCTGGAGGCAGAAATAGTTTCACTGTTACCATCAAGACCCTAATACAGAAACTGTGTCAGAGTTGGTATTCAGGAAGTAATTTGGAACCAAAAAAAATACACTAGCATTTAATATAGAATCAGATACGTTTTCCATTTGAAGAAGAAAAAAGCACTATATTCAATAAATCTTGGAGGTGGGAAGAAAAAAGGTTCAGCCCCCTCCTTTCACTACTTTTCAACTCATGTTTCTGAAATTATCTTTAAATATTAGTTTCCTGCTGCATGTCAGCCCCCTTTACAGCTCACTGGAAACTGAAAATCTTTAGATTAATCATTTATCCCTATTTCACCATTAAAATATTTTGACTTGAGAAATGGTAGGGTTTTTGCATTTTCCTCGCTGACTTTTTTGTTCTTTTCTTGATTTTTTTCTCCATCTTCTTTTTAATAGCAATGACATCTTGAAATAGGATTTCTGCCTGGTGACCAAGGATAAAGAGAAAATTTGAATGGAAAGAAGCCAGTGTCCCAGACTTGCTCCTGTGTTTAAATGAATTTCTTTTCTCATATTAAGGTACTTGCAGGCACAACAGCCCAGAACCTCAGGATTTTCTTTAACTGCTCTGTGAGTCTCCCTGCCTTGACCTGGATTCTTATCAACACTGGGGATTTGTTTTTCCCTCATAACGTCAAAAGTAATAAAATCAGTGGCAGCCCCTTAAAAGCATTCCTGTTTGTCTAAAAGAAAATGCAGGCATTATACATGTCTAGCAGCCAGCAATTCCACACAACTTCTTCTACCTCTTCATTCCATATGCTCCATGGAGACCAAGTTCAAGGGCAAGGTCCACATGGAAAAGACTCAGAGGTTACCACATAGCAGAAAGATCAGTGTAGATTACAATTCCAAAAAAAAAAAAAAAAAAAGCTTTGTGTTGCAATTAGAATAAGTCTGAGCATTGGTTAAGAAGATCAAGTCCCAGCTCTCAGCTCTGTCACCAGATACGGGATTTGGGAACTCTTTGAGAGTCAATATTCTCACATGCAGTACAAGATAGGTATGTCTAGCTTACCTCCCAGGCTTATTTTGAGGGGCGAATGAAATACCTACTTTACATATCTCCATGGAGAAATACCTATGGAACTCTGACTCCACCATTGTCATGTCCATGTCATGTCCACACCTATATCCACATCCACATCTCCATCTCTATCTGTGTCTGCATCTCCATCCACACCTATAACGCTCAGGGATGCAGAGCAACACTTGGACTATGCTCATTAGTTCCTTGTCTCGTCCCAATATTCTTCCTTAGGAAGAATAATCAGCGAGCTATACGCAGGTTGATTGGAAAGGAAGAGAATCTTGGCTAAGAACCTCAGACAAGAGGCTGTGGTTAGTTTTAAGTTCAAGCTGACCTGAGCACACTTAAGGATGGAAGCCATGAGCCTGAAGAGAAAAGAATTTATCTAAGGGAAAAAAAATGCAAGGAAATAACAATGTGAATTGCTGGACAGACAGTGAGCCATTATATAGTACAAAGGGGAGAATGACATGGAAGATTGTCTAAGTACATGGATTTGGAGAGAAACTGGGCCAGTGTGAGACTTAGGCAAGCTGTTAGTTTGGGATAAATTTTGTTTCTTTTGCAGGGGTCGAGGCAATGATGCATGTCTTTGGCATACGAAGGTTGTGTGAACTTGGGAAACCCATCTGTGTGCACTTGCACTCGGCGTTCTGTGTGTGGCTATGATTTTGAGAGTATCCATGTGTGTGCCCATGGCTTCAGCAGTTCCTACATCTTTGCAATTGCAGATTATTACAATACGTACTACACCTAACTCGAGTGCTTTTCCTTTTAAAGCAAATCCATTTTCTCCCAATCTCCAAATCCATTTGGCATTTTGTGTTAATAATATCAGAGACTCGTGCAGTCAGAGGAGCCGCTTCCACTCTTCCCAGAGATTTGTTTAAAGCATCTGAAGATGAAATGCGCCCCATCTGATTATCTACTGTAGCGTTTCTGAAATGACAGCTGCTCCCTCTATGTGCAGAGAATTAGCAGATGGACAGCTATGACCGGCTGGCAATGAATTCAGTGCCTCTAATTTCTGAAAAGGGGTCATCCCTCAAATAGAGTTTGAAGTCCTGCTTTGCTCATAAGGAGAGTAAAATGGTAGCATTGCTATCCCCCCGCCCCCCCCCCACTGAAAATCACACACTTACAGAGGGGGAAGAAAATACTTCCTTTTGGTTTCTGCAGGGGAAACCATTTGATACAAATAGCCCTCCTCATCTTTTTTTTTTTTTTAAAGAAAACACTTGGGTTTAAGTACAGTCTAGTTTAAGATAAAGCCTTGGTGCACAAAATGTGTTAGATCTAGGGTGACCAACCATCCAGTTTGCCCTGGAATGTTGCAGTTTTAGTCCTGAAATTTCTACATCCCAAGAAACCCTTCGGTCCCTGGTAAACTGAGACAGCTGGTCACCCTGACGCTAGATTCAGATTCTAGGGGGTGTTTCAAAAGCAGGGCCTCTGTTCAGAATTGGGTCTGACTGTTTACATTGACTTTGAATGTTCTAGCTGGGGTGCACCCTGCCGCCTGCCTCAGGCACCTTCACTCCCTAGTTTTACCTCTGAGCGCCTTTCATGCATATTAGGAGTCTGCTCTGTTCTAGGTATTTGCAGCTGGTGTCCAGGATGTCTCTCTAACCATCAAACCTGCAGTTTTTGGTAGGACAAATTCCTTCTTTAAAAAAAAAAAAAGCTTTTGATCTCCTGAAAAATATGGCCATTTTATGACCAAGCAAAAACATCTCAGCCGAAAGGATCAAAAAATGAATCAGGTCCACCAGGCACTGACACAACATTGTAAACTGACTATACTTCAATCAAAAACCAAAATGAATCAGTAGGGCCAGTCCTAAGAGGTCACTGAATAAAAGCCACCAACGTCATGGTCTCCTAAGTAAAGCACAGCTTTAAAGAGTAGACAGACTAAGGGAAATAAGTCACTGGAAGCCACTTTTTTTAAAACATTAATTGTGGATTTTACGTATCTGCTAAGAATAGGGCTTACCATGACAGGAGAATGGGAAAGAAGTAACACAAACAAGGGCCTTGAAAGGCAAACCCTGAGCTACAGCTACCCTGAAGCAAAAAAAAGACCACAAGTCAGAGGAAGAAAGAGGAAAAGTGAGCCGCTTCCTGAAAGAGAATCTATAAAGCTGCAGTCAGACAATAAAATGATTCGAAAGTCCCCCATCCATCCGTGACTGATAAAAGGAGAGATGGGGCCCATCAGACTGAACGAGTGATGCCAGGCTTGATAATATTAGCACCCGCAGCACAGCAAGCTCTGAAGTCTAAAGAGAGGCAGCGTGTTTGAGATTTAGCAAGCGCTTCACCATTCACTGCACAGCCTAGAAACAGGAGGCAGCATGGCTGCAGGAGGAGAATATTTATCAAGGTAAAGAGATGCACGGGAGCTTCAGGACACGACAGAACAGCATGAGGCCCTCTGGGCCAGACACTGCACCCAGAGCTTTCCGAATGAATTTCATCGCTTGGATGGGGAAAAGGAGGAAAGAGGGAAAAACAAAAGGCAGCTTCATCTTAAGGCCACAGTTGTTGTACAGCTCAAACAATCAGGGCTGCCAGGGACATATGATTATGTTCAAGATATTTTCATCGTGCAGAATGCTCAGAGA